TCGGTGCATAAGTGTGCATATCTAATATAGTTAGAGGTATACATGTCAAACTCCGTAACGACCCGGCCGGTCATTTCGAGAGTGTAGCCCTGTTTCCCCATTTTCTGCTTCATTTGTGTTCTACAGCTGTATTATCACTTATCGAGTTAGTTGGTTCGGGTCCGGAATGATTTCAGAATGAATTAGACACTTAGTCTCTTAATTGAAAGTTTAAGTTGGAATAGTTGACCGGATGTTTGACTTATGTGTAAACGACCACGGATTTGAATTTTGATGGTTCAGTTAGCTCCATCAGGTAATTTTGTACTTAGGAGCGCATCCGAATTATGATTTGAAGGTACGAATTAGAATTAGGCTTGAAATGCCGAAAGTTGGAATTTTGGAAAGTTTGACCGTGAGTGAACTTTTTGATATCGGGGTCGGAATGGATTTTTGGATGGTGGAGTAGGTTCGTGGTGTCATTTATGACTTGTGTGCAAAATTTAAAGTCAATCGGACATGATTTGATAGGTTTTGACGTCGTTTTTAGAATTTGAAAATTTCAAAGTTCTTTAGGCTTGAATACATGTGTAAATTTTTGATGTTGTTTGAGGTGATTTGAGGGTTCGACTAAGTTCGTATGATGTTTTGGGACTTGATGGTATGTTTGATTGAGGTCCCGAGGGCCTCGGGTGAGCTTCGGGTGGTTAACGGATCAGTTTTAGACTTTGGTTGATGGCTGATATCTGCTGGTGTGTTTTTTTGGTTTCCCCTTACGCGTTCGCGAGATGAGCCTCGCGTTCGTGAAGGGCGTTTGTGAGATGGGAAGATTTTGTTCTTCGTGTTCGCGAAGAAGAGGACTTGAACGCAAAGGTATGTTCTGTGTGTGCGTCACGAACGCTAGAGGATGGTCGCGTTCGCGAAGAGATGTTGAAGCTGCTAGGGACCCCATGTCCTTAGTCTAAGCGTTCGTGAGGTATGGGACGCGTTCGCGAAGGTCAGAGTTGGTAAAGATTCGCGTTCGTGAAGCGTGGGTCGCGTTCGCGAATTGAGGGGCAGTCAAATTGGTCTACGCGAACGCGAGAAAACGGTCGCATTCGCGAAGAAGGAATATCTGGGCAGCAGTACTATTAAATTTCAAAAACGAGGGTTTGAACCCATTTTTCATTATTTTATCTAGAGACCACGGATTTGAGCGATTCTTGAAGGAATTTTCGAGGAGTTGATTGAAGTAAGTGATTCTTACTTGGTTTTGGCTAAATTCCATGATTATGTCCTTAATTCCATCATCTAATTTGTGAGTTGGGGTAGAAAATTGGGGAAAAAGAGGAAGAATTCTTGAGTTAGATTTTTGAGGTTTTGAATGGGATTTTGTTATCAGATTTGAGTAAATTTTGTATGGTTAGACTCGTGAGTGAATGGGCTTTAGGGTTTTGTGACTTTTATCGAATTTCGAGACGTGGGCCCGGAGGCCGGGTTTGAGCCGATTTTGGATTTTTGGCTACAATTTAGTACTTTTTTGTGGAATTGATCTCTTTAGCCTATATTGATTGAATTTTACTAATTGTGGCTAGATTCGGGAAGTAGTGGAGACCGATTTAAGAGGCAAAGGCATTTTGGAGTAGAGTTTTGCTCGGATTGAGGTAAGTAACACTTTCAAACTTGGTTCTGAGGGTTCGAAACCCCGAATTATGTGTTATCACCAATTTTGTGCTTGAATATTAGTCACTGATCTTAATTTTGCAATCACCCTCTTTTTCTCAAGAATTTTATTTTTTGTTATCAGGATATCATGGCACTAAGAGGCAACATCAATCAAATAACAACTGATACACCAGATTGGATATGTAAGGTCCAAATTGTTGACATAAGTCGAGAACAAGAGAGACCCGAGAAAAAAGTTAGATTTCAAAATCTGATTTTCGAAAATGAAGAGGTAATTATCTCTACTGCAACAACATATATTCAACTTTATATCATTATAATTATACTGCATTTGTAAGAAAAGTTGACACTTTACAGGAGCAACAAATTCGGGGAGTCGTGTATGGCGATGCCATTTCATATTATGCTGACAAGCTTAAACTCTTTCAGACATATCTAATCTCCACTGCAAAAGTTAAAGTTTCATCAACTTTATATGGTCCACCAATATATAAATTTTATTGGGTGCTTGATCGCGAGACTATAGTGGAACATATTGAGCCGAATAATGAGACTGAGAAACCACTGCTACCACCGGCAAAGTTGAATATCACTTCTTTCGACCACGTTGGTCGCCAAAAATATATTACGGCGGTTCTTACAAAACTGCCATAATCTTATATTTGATAAACTGGCGGTTTTTGTTTGTGTATTACGGCTGTGGGAAACCGCCGCAATGTGTTCCGTTGCCCATTATGTTCAAACTGGCGGTCAAGACCGCCGCAATTGTGGTCTAATTATTTTATTTATTATTTATTTGTGTACTTAAACCTTTTTATCACATCAATGCATCCGAACTTGCATAATACTTTAGAGTAACTTTGACACAAATACAAAAAATCAATTAAGTAAAATATTTATTATTTAAAAATGGTACAGGTACCTCAATATTTACATCATCAAATGAATTAAAATTCCTAAGATTGTTCAATAACAGTATAAACAATCATAAGTCACTCTTTGCAATATTGCATTGAGCTTGCCTTCTCAACATCGATAAAAATGCCAAAAATGCCATGTATTTTATTATGACATTGTATTTTGGGAGATCTTATAACTATTGGTATTACTGTGTTAAAAATCAGAAAATCAGAGAAGCAGAGAAACATTAGTTTAATAAACAAAACAGAAAAAATAATTCCGAGCCCACAAGTTGCTTATGTGTCCTTAAGGAATTTAATCCCCTCACTGTTGCCCAAGGTTTTGGATTAATTCCTCCCAGGATAGAAAGGAATAACTATTCTGCAATACTGGCAATCGAAATTACAGAATTTCAGCGAACTCAACAGACGGAGCAAATCACACTTGACACTTACGTTTATTTGAAAATAATGCAAATAGAAAAGAGGGGAGAAATTTTCAGATTTTTCCATATCTTAAAAATGAGGCCAAGCCTCTAAATTTATAGACAAAGGAAGCGTGAGATGGAGAGGTGCAATCCAAAAGGTGCCTCTTCCATTTCCCATTCACACCCTTTAAAGAAAAACGCAACAATCCCCCACATGAATGGGGAATTGGCATATGTGTAAAAACATGCATGAAAATACAGTGTGATTCGCAAGTAAGGATTAATTGCATATGGATAAGTAGGTTTTCCTTTGAACTTTCGGTAGTGAACATATGTCGGATATACTCGGTCAATCGGTAGAATTGATATCTTTGAACCGTCGAGCTTTGGTGTATACCTAGACAACCATAAGTCACACAATCAACCCTTAACCATCTTTGGTTCTCATTGTTGTGTTCGTTTCAGCCATGAACACCACCTGGTTCATACGTGCGTAGAGGACTGGCCTTATAGAATTCTCCTTGAAGCGGCTTACACTTCACACTTAGATAGGTGATTCCTAAATGTGTTATCCGGTAGATACACTATCTGATATACCTTGTATCAAACTTAGAAACCATTAAAAAGTCTTAACTCTTTATCCTTGGTACTGAACATTGTCTCATCACGAGAATGGACACCAAAAAAGTTTTATTTGATAATGTTGAACCGTCATTAGTGACTTTGTTTGAGCTCCTTGAACCTAGATCTTGGGATCTCCAGTCTTCTAGGTAGAGTTACCGCCACAATGACTTGTCCTCGGCCGTAGTCACATTCCCCTCGATGATCTTTCAACTACCTCTCTAGTTAGGCCTTTTATAAGTGGATTCGACACATTATCGCTTGACTTTACATAGTCAATTAGGATAATTCCCCTAGAGAGTAGTTGTCTAACGGTTTTATGTCTTCGTCATATATGACAAAATTTTTCATTATACATAACGCTCCCAGCCCTTCCTATTGTCGCTTGACTATCACAATGTATACATATAGGTGCCAAAAGTTTGGGCCAAAATAGAATATCTTCCAAGAAATTCCGGAGCCATTCAGCTTCTTCACCGGCCTTCTCTAAGGCTATAAACTCAACCTCCACTGTAAAGCGGTGAATGTACATTTGTTTGAACGATTTCCAAGACATCGCTCATCCACCGACTGTTTAGAATCGGTTGAACCGGTGATCTAATTTGCATTACTATACCCCTTTATTATCGCGGGATACTTATTGTAGTGCAAAGCATAATTTGGAGTATATTTAAAATACTTCAAAACTCGTTTCATTGTCATGAACGTTCAATGCAAACTTTCTTATGTTGTAGACTAATACGTCTCGACTTTCGATTACATATCAGATTATTGACTACACTTAATGTAGTAATTATAACAACAGCTGGAATATATAACACATTTCGCAATCATTCCGCCATTTTCAAGCATTTGTATGCTATTCATTCATACGTCTATATGATATGCAACTTATAGCACCTTCATTCATGAAACCAATCCAATTTGCAATAGATTTTGATCATGTCCATCGGTTGGTTCACCTCATTATAGATCAACATATTAATACATTCGTTCATGAACGATCATGTCCATACAAAAATGTACAAACGTATCTTTCTATGAAAAGTCACAACTTTCAAAGTGACATCATTTCATAAAAGAACTAAACAATATAAATTTTCAATAAAGAAAATGATCTTTCGAGAAAGGCAACGTGACCTAACTTCCGAATTAGTACGTTTCAATCAACTAGTACTCTATTAAGACTAAACTA